TGGCGGGGAAGAATCAGAAATCTTTAATAAATAAATAAAAATTAAAAAAGATTTATTTTTTATTGTATGTGTAGGAATGTTTTACCTGCACATGTGTTTGTATACCACATATGTGCAGTCTCAATGGAAGCCAGAAAAGAATACATGCAGCCCTGGAAGTGGATTTACAAATGGTTGTTAGCCAACTTTTGTATACTGGGAAATGAACTCAGGTACTTTGTAAGAGCAGCTAGTACTCTTAACCACTGAGCCATCACTTGAGCCCTAACATTTATGTTTTACAATAATGAGTCTCAACTTAGCATCAACTGGAAAGCCAGAGATGGGCTTTTAAAGCCATGCTCTGGTAAAGTATTTTAGGATTTCAGACATGATCTCCAGGAATCATGAATTTCTGTTTTTGCTTCTGATGTGGGGTATTCTGTAGCTCCTGCTGGCTTCAAATTCACTATGTAGCCAAGGATTACTTGAATTTTTGATCATCTTGCCTTGTCCTTTTGAGTACAGGGATTGCAGGGATACTTTCTCATAGCTGCTTCATGCATTTCTGGGGATGGGAACCAGGTCTTTGTGCATGTCAGGTAAGCACTTTGCCATTTGAGAAATATATATGAGTTGTAAAGTTCCTCAGTGATTCTAATGCACAGCCAGTAGTTGACAAGACTGTCAGAGGAGGGCTTCTGTGAGTTCTGGAAGAACAGTGCACCACCCAACAAACAGGAAGCCATGATCACTGAACCGCTTTATAGCACATGGCATAACAATTTTCAGTGGAAAATGACTGGAACTACAAATAGAATGCACATAATCCTGTCGTACTGGCCTGCACTAACTCTTCATAATGCTACAGTTGTACTCTATACTGATACAGCACCAGAGGCCTCTCAATTCTTCCCTGGATACAAATAACTCATTAGGCCATAAAACAAGTTAGCAAACCTTAAACAAGCAGATTCAATTTTATACACAGAACCTTCAGTTGAAAAATGTCTCCCATACAACATTATTTACAGAGATAGTTTTTTTCCCCCTCACCTGTGTTTCCTTACAAGGCTGGAAGGAGAAATTCTGCAGGAGTTTAGTGAGAGCAAGTTTCATGTTCATGAGAGCAAACCTCATACCAATGCAGTTCCTGGGTCCATACCCAAAGGGCATGTATACATAAGGATTAATCTTGCCCTTGTTCTCCTTGCTGAACCTGGAGACACAGAGTAATAACAAGTTAGAAAAGGATAGAAGCATAAGATCTACATACATGAATTTACCTTCAGACATCTAACCAGACATACAGGTAGAATAGTAAAGGTTCACTGAACTGATTCCTGGTATTTGACTCTGAGAATTGTACACTAAAAGTCCTTTTTGTCCCCCTTGCCCTAAAAAGTTTCCATATCTGAGATAAGACAAATGCTCTAGACAGAAAATGTATCCTATGTGCCCACTAGTGTTATGTGGTAGGGATAATGAACCACTGTCTGATTGTACCAGAGTTCCAATTTACAGTGGTATTTAATGCCTGATACTGTAAATCTGGAGGTTATATGCGCTAGGGTTGAATGTACTACTGTTGTTTTGCTAAGTGGACATGGTATCAAACTGTCTTCTGAATATTCATGTTTATACACAAAAACTAGTGCTGCTCTTAGTCTTGGTCAGAGAAGCTTCTGATTGCAGTGGGAGACAGTTAACACAGAGACTCATAACTGCTCAAAATGCTGAGAATGAGTGATTGTGGAGTGCTCAGTGCTTAATGGGACATCTGTGTCGTCCCCTCCAAGGCTCATGGAACATCTCAGAAGAGGGGGCAGAATGACATAAGATCCAGGGAATGAAAGGGGTGCTGTGAAACACTATCTTCTGGACCTGACACAGCCATTGTACTTATGAATTCGCAGCAACTGTGGTTGCCTACACAAAGCTAGACCATGTTGATACACTCCATCAAGGATTGGGGAGGGAGTTTGTGGAACATCACCTCTGTGAGGAACTATTGACAAGCAATGGTTCCTGGAGTGGGGGGATATTCTTTTTAATGGTTGTAGCTCTTGGTGAGTTGTCCATTCTGCAGTAAATAACTTCTAGACCTGCACTTACGCAAGCAACCCCAATTAAAATCATGAGTCACAAGACAACAGGACGACAGGAATAGAGGAGGAAGACTTGATGGGGACAAGCAGGGATTCAACAAGTGTTCAAGGGAAAAGTGACAGGAGGTGATAAATGACCAAATACTTTAAGGATACATGCAATTGTCAAAGAATAAAAAATAACCAAAATACTCTTTACATACATGCTATTGTCAAAGAATAAAAGCAAATGGGGGAATACATGTCTTAAAAGTCTCTTCAAGATAATGCTGGGTTCCATCTCTCAAAAGCATGTGTCAGTTAGACTGAAGGAAAGCGGGTTCCTGCCTCACACTTAAGTTGGTCATTTGTCACTTGATGAAGGAGGATTAAAACTCTGTATTTAAATTCTCATTTTTCCTCCCATCTCTCTTCCCCTTTCCCTATTCCCCTTTCTCTGTCATCCTCTTCACAGAATGCAAATGGATACTAAATCACATTTAGATAATCTTTTCATAAGAGACACTACAGTACATACAGCCCAGCACAGTTCATAGTGGGTTCCAACTACTGGAATTCTAGTACCTTTCAGGGAGGAATTCTTCAGGCTCTGACCAGTACTGTGGGTCACGGTGAAGAGAAAAAATTGGTATCATCACTACTGACCCCTTGGGAATAAACACACCACCCATTTCCATATCTTGTTTACAGATTCTCTCAAGTCTGTCAGAAATTGAGTATAATCTGAGGGATTCACTCAGCACCATGTCTAGGTACTCCATCTCCATCACTTTATCATAGCTGGGAGGTGCCTGGGAAGAAAGAAAAAGGTTTGTTCTGAGATTTTAGATTACCTTTCCATTGATCTGTATTGTACAGTTGAGTTCTCATTAGCTCCAAAGTTGAGCTGAGCACTGCAAAGGTCATAGGCACTTATAACACATTTTAAAGGATTTTTAAATTGTTTTATTTTATGAGTGTAGCTGTTTTGCCTACATATGTGTATGTGTGCCACATAAGCACAATGTCCACAGAAGTCAGAAGAGGGCATCAGATCCTTTGTGACTGACATTACATATAGTTGAGGGTTGCCATTTGGGTACTGGGAATCAAACCTGGATGGATTTTCTGAAAGAGCAGCTAACGCTCTTTCATTGAGCTAGTTATCCAGTCTCTTACAAAATGGTTAGAATAACTGTCACTTGGGCTTTAAAGATATCTCAATTTATGAATTGTCTAGTATGCAATCCTGAGTTCAGATACATATCATTCATAAAGCCAGACATAGTGGCTAACGTCTATAATCCCAGCAGGGTAGGGGATGGGGCAGAGACAGGGCATGCCTGGTGATCCTTTTCCAGACTGCCTAAACAATTTGATGATCTCCAGATTCAGTGAGAATACCTGTGTCAAAAACCATGGTGGAGAGTGATTTAGAAAAATACCCAGTACAGGTC